CCCGCCTCTCTCACCACTCTCTCTCTCTCTCTCTCTTTCTCATTTTCTCTTGCTGTCTCTGTTTCACTCCTTTCTCCATAGACGACACAGTTCATGGAAGGAGCTTTAGGATCAATCGTATATATACGTATCGATCTTTTTAGTCGATTAGCATAGATACCATGCAAATCGTAATCGTTTGTTTGAGAGAAAATCAACTAGCGGATTACACGGGCTGCAAGCGGGTTTTCCTTTCAAATTCGTAATTAGCGTATCAATCGTAGCTCTTGTACTACATTTTGTGAATGAGATATTTTTGACACACAGGATGAGCTTGACTATGCAATTACTAGAAAATTGCTATCTGAGCTTGATGGAGAATATCGATTACTGCTTAAATGGTCTCATTTGCAGATTTTGAAATTTGCATTTTTTGCCACTTCGTTGCCCTTGGCTGTTCATCAAATCGAATATCGCAACATTAATAACTTAAACTCGGTATTTATTGCATGAGACGGTTATAATTAATTTGTCGTGCGAGAGATTTATTTTAAGGAGGTAACATTGAAAATCCGTAGAGCAATATCTTGTTAGAATAATTGAGCGCGATAATGGAGTAGAATAATTTTTAATGTTTTTATTTAAAAAATGATCATTCTTATATAAGCGATTGTCGCTCATCGATCAGACCGAAGAGTTGCTAGAAACGAAGAAGAATGTATTGGAATCTTTACGAAGGAGCGATTAAGGCTGTTTTCATGTACGAATACGATCGCAACGTTAATGATTATATTGAAAATAGGACTAGTTGCGGTGGTTTTGATAATAAATGAATGTATTCAAATTTTATAATAACGTTAAATTACGTCGAAGAAATTGATTGGTTAGCTTTGAACACTTGGGCGAACTTTTTAAATTAATATAACAACTAATAATCTGTATTTTCTATAATGTGAAGATTGATCGTATAATTTTCTTTTCTCATAATTCATCTCAATACACGTGGTCCAGATACGAGAATTTTCTATCAAAGGTTTTCAAAAGCATTTCTCTTCCACTCTCTGCGCGTCTCCAAATTTGATCCGCTTTTCACGGATTGAGCAGCTGCAACATCGGAATTCCCTTATCGGCCGGAAGCCGAAAAGTGGTGGGAGGCAAAAAAAAATAAACTTTTTCATTCCTCAATCCCCGCGGATGAAATCCGTAGAAATGCCTGTCTGACTGTCATCAGAATAAAAATCGCATAAAGGGATCGGGAAGCCTGTTTAACGTGCATCTATATAGTTTATGATGGATATGCATAGTTTTATTTTTGAAAGCATACAAAATTCCGCTGTATTAACGTTACGTAAATCAAGTTTCAGATACTGTATAAGCTTTGATTTTTTTAAATTAAAAAAATCGGTTCTTTTAACGTTTCACGAATCAATCCTATCTCCACATTTTATTTTCTATAACTAAGTACTCTCATATAGGCTCGATAATTATACTTGTACCAAAATTTTAGCATCACATACATGCAGTGGAAATACTATTGACATTGCGAGCAATGAAATATGACGGCGCTTTTTGGGATTTTAGCTTAAAGCTTGAAAATTCTGATTAAACCAGGATTACGCTAATACCAGATAAGTCCAAAATAACAAAATTAAAAAAACGCCATTGTCTAAATAAGTATAAAGAAATTCAATACCTATACCTTTATGTTAAAAACATTGTAATTTTCACGGTACCAACTCCACATATAAAAGCCAAGCATTTAAATTCCAAAACAGCACGCGTTACTTTTCTCAGGAGCGTAAACCAGGTAATGCTCGTTATCGTTAGAATAAAATACGGTACGTGTTATGCGCCGCGACATCTCCTTTCGACTAGCAACGTACAATACAAAACTTTTGAGCACAGTTATGAAATGCAGGAAAATGACAAAGAAAATGGAGGAACAAATGATAAGCAAAGCAAACGCTTTGTCACTCTAAGAACTTTAAGCTTTCAGTCTCATTATTATTATTATCTTCCTAGGAAAGAGGTTCATTAACAAATTCCATCTGTAAAGAGGAAACATAATCCGCCTATAAAGAAATTCGAAAACGGTAAATCTTAACAAAAAATTATCAAATAACTATCGATTTTGGATTAAATTATAATTATGGCACAATTATCGAAATACGAAATCTGTATAAAATATCGAAATTATAAATTCTCAAGAATGATAAATAATAATAATAATAATAATAATAATAATAATAATAATAACAACAATATTATTGATATTCACCCGAAGTATCCGACCTCTTAAAGTTACATGTGTGCATCTCAATTTAATCGTATGATATACATACACCGATTGCTACCGAGGCTGTAGCCGCTACTTTCAAATTTCACGACACTGACTTTCGCTCTAGTGGAAAAGAATCTTCCGACTTCTCGAATCTTCCCAATGACACGTCTTTTAAGATTTTCAAAGTATTCCGAAGGATTTGTCGCATTGACACGTCGATTATAAAGGATGGTTCAGGAAGCGTAGGGAACGAAGCTTTCGAGGTAGGTAGGTAAGTGAGTACGTATAAGGTGGAGTGGTACTGGGTACTGGGTCTTTTAAACTGGTTGACTTATTCAGGCAATAACCCAAGACAATCGGGCTCCTTGTCATTCGTCTGCTTGTCTGCTCATTCTCGCAATCCCTAAAGACTCATCACGGGAGCAGCGCTCCCAGCTCTTGCTTCCAGTATGAACTCCTGGATAAATTAAGTCAAGATTTCCTTCCTTGTATTCCTTACTAGAATTAATTTCCGGCCTAGGGATATCAATTTCACTAGTTACTAGGAATGTATCTACATATTTGAACGTAGTGTGGACAAAGACTGGCTATATATAACAGGTTGTTATGGAGTATGTAAAAAATTATAGGAATAAGAGAGTAAGAATTGGAAATGTAAGATGAAGGTCAAATGCATTGTGAAAATACTATTGACAACCCCCAAGTGTGTATAAACACCGAATTTCCCGTTAATAGGGGTGTACTACCCTCATAATACTGCTCGAAAATATTGTAATATACATAAACCCGTTTATATGTAGGTTGATTAATCCTTATGTGTCTACTTTCTTTCCAATCCTTGTGC